CCGCGCAAGTGCAAGAATTTGCCTGCAAATTGTGGGGTGACTTCTTCACTTTATCTGTGCTAAGTCACCAAATTCCTGGGTCACATCACCATTCTTGTTGGTGTCACCCCCATTTTTGATGGTCAGTTGGTACGTGGATAATATCTACCTTCTAACCCAGCTGGATTCTGAATATCTCAGTACTTATATGTGCCGTGGTCAAAACATGGATTTTCGGGGTCATCCATCCCATGGGAATTTTAAGATAATAGGTCAATCTACATCCCTATATATCCCTATGAAAATGGATTGATGACCATGTTGGGAACAGACAATTTTTCGATGGCAGAAACGTGGCTTCTGTTGGCTTAACCCGCCGGTCTCTGCCTCTGCCAGAGCGATGAAGGCAGCAGGGATCCCCAAGCCGCCAAAGAAGCCGAAGCTGCAGAAACCCAGACCTTGGAGGTCCCAATTGGTCCAAAAAAGTCCCAAGAAATTCCGAGTTTCATGTTGCAGATCCCATCCACTATATCCACTCACTTTGACAGTGGAATTTTGACAATGGAACAGCTGGAACAGCTGGAACAGCTGGAACAGGATGAGCTTCTCTTTTGCTCAAACTGTGGTACCCTGTACCAGGTCGATGAGTTTTGAAATGGTGACGACTGAACACTGCAGAACATGCTTCGCTTCGTTCATTGCTCGGACGGAATGATGAAGAGTGGAAGGGATATAGAACAAAGGCTCTCAGGGCAAGAAAATGTGGGATGCGAATCCAATCTTTAGGCATGGGAAACCATTTTTTGCAGCCAACAACCGGCCCTGTTTTTGTCTGTCAGATCCCCAATTTAGTGGACAAGATCCGGTGGTTTCTCAAATCTCCCGTCTTGAATGATTGAACTGAGATTGAACTGAACAACACTGAAAATCCCCATGGCACTTGGATACTCCAGGACTGCTGCCCAGAGACATAGGGATGCATACGTCTGCATCAGGTAAAGACCTGCGGCCAAAAAGCGGGTGTCAAACAGGAGACATTCAATACATGTTTCAGCCATGATTTGGAGAGTGGAAACTCCGCCAGGTCATTCTTCTAGCCACCAGTCAACCAACTGGAAAGTATGGAGCTTCTGAGCACAAGGGCTTCCCATCCCCAAAACGTGCCTGTCCCATCAAAATCAAAAACTGTTATGCCCTTCTCATTTTCTTCTGCCTCAACAAAAAAGAGTTCTTCAGAAAATGCCCCCGAGACCCAGGCAACCCATGCCGGCATGCCGGGCCTACCACCGAGCAGCACATACCCAGATACGCTACAAAGATTGGCAGCCTGCGCCCAGCATAGTCCCCCAAGAAGCCTCCGGTAGCGATGTGGAAAATCCATCAACCTGGGGGTCCTACAGCCGTTCCACGGTAAATCATAACACGGGTTTCACACAGGAAACTGCGATGCAAATGCATAAAAGAACCATTTCCTTATGTGAAAGCTCAATGATGCTCCATGATAGTCTTGCTTGACATGGGGCAAACATCCGAAATTTTGGATGTGCATCCTAGTTGGTCTATGGTCGGACATAAATACCCCAGTTATTCACATGGCACGGTCTGATTCCAGGGATATCCCTAGGGCCCTAGAGCTTGCACCTGAGCTGATGGTGCCCAGTGCAAAGCCCATGTAGGTGGACAACATTTGAGCTTCCTGGCGTGCTTGGGTCAAGTCATGACTACCTGACCATTTTGACACCTCTGCATCCCAGTTTCTGGTACCTGGCTGATGACCCATGACTGGGCTTTGGATTGGATTATCACCATGGTCACATACTAAGTGAGATGCACATTCAAGCATTCACATGCTGATGTCATTGTCATATCATGCTATGCCACATGTCAATACGATCCCCAGCCTGCGCCAAATCTCCCTTCACTTTGTACTCCTGGGTGTGGGGATCTGATGCTCGTTAGCTCAAGAGATCAGGATGCTAACACCCACCCTTGGCACCCACTGCAATCTGTGTAGATTGAGTGAAGTGTTGGTTGAAACCACAAACGTTTACTAGGTTGATACCAACTTTCTAGGCTCGCAAAAATCCTCACCAATTGTAGCAGTTCATCAATAACCCTCCTGAAAAATCCTGAAAAAAAAACGTTCCAGTGGAATCCATTGAACCTAAAAAAAGAAATCCTCCAAATTCTAAAAAACTTACTGTACACCTTGGACCTCAGAAACTTTTATAAAACAAACATCATCCAGTCCTCCCTCCACCGACGGCGCCGTTGGCGTGCGGTCCTGCATGATGGCCGACGCCAGGGCTGCAGAAGTCTGGAGACCACCGGACTCGGCAACCACTACACCTGCGATCTCGTCCCCATCCCGGAAGAGCAAAACAACCGACTTTATGGTGGCTTCACCAATCAAACATAGTGGCTTAACCAATCAATTTGATGGGCGTTTAACATGAACTATCAAATCATGTTTAATGAGATGGTAAGCATCAGCAAATAGGGATTCGATAGGTCAATGATGATTCGCCAGTGAAAAAAAACGGTTTCCATATGTTGAAACAAATCCAGTAGACAAAGAGCGGTGCAACCGCAGCAACCAACTTGCATATCCAAGAGTTGTTATTTGTATCCCAAAATATGGCGAGTTTAACACAAATAATTGGCACAATACAACTAAGGGGGAATGTGCAAGAGAGAGGGAAGAAACGCAACCAAACTTAAGAAAATGAATTTGTGAATAATTTGAATTTTCAAGGGGGATAAAGAACATGGCCAAGAAAATGTGGATGTACAAGAAAGTGTGACCGTCCCAAAAATCAGCTTCACTTCAAACAGCTATACCGGCTATACCAGGTTTCGGATTTTTTGGGGCCCAATCCACTGGTTGATCGCGATTTTCCCTATTAACATAATGGGTGTGTCACTTTTGCATTTATCTGTTTATGGATTCATTTATTCACTTAGATAGTTACAGTATGTTACAGTACATGAGGTCACGCACTGCACTAATTCAACCACCAGGATTCATGCATCATGATTGACAAATCCCGGGACAGTACTGAACCTTGTTGCAACACCCCTGGGGTGATCCCCCGGGTTTGAACAAATGGGCCTGCGCACAGCACGAAGACATGGACTTGGTATAAACCAAAACCAATTTCATTGATCTTATCCTCAGCGCCCGCTGGGATTTCCCGCGATTTCCCAGGCACCATCCAGGGCAGGCACGTGTCATGAGCACACCAACTGTATGAGTTTGCGGAACCTTGAAAATAGTGCTATAATGAAAGTCAGTTAGGATTATGATTCTCAATATATGGGAAAATAAAAAATGTTCCAAACCACCAACCAGCTCCAGTTCTGGCTCAAAAAAACCCTGTGTCGAATGCACTCCATGCACTCATGTCATTTTACCATTTGCTTTCGCATGTCAGTTTCAATCAGACCTGCCACATTTGCCTGTGGCCATTTCCTTTCAACCATCCAGAGGGTGGGATTCTTGCAAAGCCCTTGACGGCTACGCGTGTGCAAAAGGGACTTCGTTTGCCTGCACTTGCATCAACTTCTTGGTCCAGAACTTCGAGTGTCTTGACTACAACTGACTCCCTACCAGTTGATACTGGTAGCGGAGCTCAAGCTCCAGAGCTCACCACTGCGCAACTCCTACTTCCTTGACGACTTTGCCACCAACCTTCACTTCACCTCCTATCATCTCCTCGAGCACTTTGGTGCCATCAACTTGATTTACTGCATCTCTGAAAAGATTCTTGTGCCCAAAGATCTGCTGATTTCTGACCTCAAGAATGGCCAGCACTGCTTCAGCCGTGACCACAGATTCACAGTTTACGAAGGATTCATACATACCCATTTTTGATGGGCAACCCAGTTCATACCAAGAATGGCGGAAAAGAATCCATATCTACCACTTGAAGATGAAGATTCAGAAACGTACTACAGAGTCTGTTTTGAATTTGATCGGCTCACTGCAGGGCAATGCATGGAAGTTGGTAGAGGGCTATGACTTGACAAAGGTTGAAGATGACCAGGCTTTTGACAAGGTCATTTCCATGTTGGATACGGCATTTCAATATGACACACGTGTCAGGATGCCCCAGGATTTCGATGCCTACTTCAACTTGTCCAGGCGCCCAGGAACTTCCTTGCTTAGCTTCGTGACTGAACACGATGAGAAGCTTCGCAAAATCACAGAGCACGGCATCAAGCTTCCAGACCAAGTTCAAGGATGGCTGTTGCTTCGCCGTGCAAACCTCACAAAGGAACAGAATCAACTTGTTTTAACTCAAGCCCCAAAACTTGAAAAGCTGCGTGTTCAGGAAGCCTTATTTGTCATTTTGGGGCAAGATTACAAGTCAGCAGTCTCCCATGACCGGCGACCATTTGCCAACAACCGCTTTCAACGTGGAAAAGCTTTTGCTGCTCATGATGATGAAACGTTTGATGATTCAGACATCTATGAGGATGGATACTACGAGTATGATGACCAATATGAGACTGAGGTTTACGATGAAAGCTGGGCCGATGACAGCTTTGATGCGGATGCCGCCTACTTCCAAGAAGATGAGGCAGCCCTTGAGTTTGACCAGCACTCTGAGGCCTTCGACGTTAATACGTATGACGAGGCTTTTGCTGCATACTTGGATGCTCGTCGAAGGTTTCAAGATTTGAAGCTCAGTCGTGGATTTTTGCCAGTTGTGGCATTGGCTGATCAGAACCCTGTGTCTCCTTCCTCCAGTCCTTCACCTTCCTCACGTGGCCGTGGAAAAGGCTTTGGAAAGCCAAAGGGGAAATCGAAGGGCAAGGGCCGTGGATCCAATGTTGTGCGATACCCACCACGTGGTGAACGCAAAGCTCCAGATCCTCGAGCCAGAGCTGCAGCAGCCTCACAATGTTTGCGATGCGGTGCTTTTGGACACCAAGCAGCTCAGTGCCCTCGACCTGCAAAGCACAGCGGTTCCTCTCAGGTGTCAACCAGCCCTTCAAAGAAGCAGAACACAGAAGGCATGGCCGCGACCCAGCTGCCTGATGAACATGGACACGTCCTATTTGAGGACCAACTTGGACGCCCTCGCGTCGACTGCACCATGATGGACCCAGGAGCAAGTGCCTTTTTGATGGGTACTGGCCCATTCCACCGCTATGTGGAGCATCTCAAACAGCTTGGATTTGCCGTGGAAACCATTGAGATGCGGCGCACTTGCCGGACTTTTCATTTTGGTGGAGACCATTCAACAGTGAGTCATTGGGTTGCTAGGGTGCCAGTTTTCCTCAACAACAACTTCGGATTTGCCCAGGCGTTTATCATCAAAGGAGAGACACCAATGTTGATGGGCCGCCCCATCATTGAAGCTTTGGGCATTGTCATCAACTTCAAGCGGCAGCAGATGATGTTCGAAGGACATCCATGGCGACAAATCACAATTGGTCGACATGGCGAATACTTGCTGTCCTTGACTGAAGACTATGAGGCCGAGCTTGCTGATCAGGTGCCTTCCTTTGATCTTCGACTTGAAGACCAATCCGATGAGTTTCAGTCCTCTGGCGAGGTCATGGATTTTCAGGCCTACCAGAAGCAGGAAGGTGTTTTCACTTCCAGCGATGACTCTCCGACACAGCCTGGAGAGCGACCTGTCCTGATCAAGCACTGGAAGATGCTCGAGAATGCTCTTGCTGCCGAAGAGAAACGCATCCATGCCACGCTCACCAGAGAACTTCATGACCCGACACCAAGACCCAGGATTATCTGGGAAGTCTATGCTGGCGCTTCAAGGATGTCAGAGGTGGCCGAATCACTCGGCTGTTTTGTTGAGACGTTTGGGTATGAGACTGGCTATGACTTTGACCTTCCTTCACATCGGTCTTACTTTTTGGAGTACCAAGCCCATGTGATGCCTGATGAGGTTTTGTATGCACCGAGATGTGGCTTGTGGAGCAGGATGCAAGCAATCAATGCAACCACTGAAGCCAAGAAAGACCTCCTGCAACAACAGCGACAGATCCACCATGATCACCATCTTCGATTTGTGAAGAAATCATACCTTGCTCAAGTTCATGGTGGACGCCAAGCACATCTTGAACAACCACATGGAGCCTTGTCCTGGGAAACCACCTCCTTGAAATCTCTCCCAGGACTCTATGTCACCTTTGACCAATGCTGCTATGGTGCAATGTGCTTGGACTCTGATGGCCAATGGAAGCTTGTTCGAAAGACCACAGGCTTGAAAACAACCAAGCGTGCAATGGCTCAAGCCATGTGTCTTCGTTGCGATGGATCCCATGAACACTGCAGGCTTGAAGGACAATTTCCTGGCCTTGGTCGCTCTCGCACCAGCTACATGGAAGATTACCAACCAGCAATGGCTGCAGTTCTAGCTGCTGCAATGGCAGCTCCTGAGGATCCAAGCGCCTGGGAAGACGCCAACGCTGTGGAAGAGGTCAAAGAGGTCCAAGGAAAGCTAGTTCAGCTCATGACTGGAAACCGAGCTGAAGCCACCAGAACTGTCCAGCGACTTCATCGCAACCTTGGACACCCATCACCCAAAGCTCTTTGTGAACTTCTGGAATCACGTGGTGCCTCAGAGACTGTCATGGAGATTGCACGACAGTTTCAATGTCATGCCTGCTTGCGATACCGAAAGCCAAATCAGGTAGCTCCTTCGTCATCAAAGACGGTGAGCAAATTCAACCAGATCGTGCAGGCCGATGTCTTCTGGCTCAAGGACAACTCTAACAAGTTGCCCATCTTGTCCATGATCGACGAGGCCACAAAGTTCATGGCTGCGTTCCTCCTCAAGAGCGAGAAAGCCATTGACTATATCTCAGCTCTGGAACGGTGTTGGATTTCTCACTTTGGAGCACCGACCAAATTGATCACTGATGAGGGACGTGGCTGGCTTCATGATGATTTTGGAATTTGGACTGATGAACATGGAATCCACCATGCAGTTGCTGCTGGCGAAGCCCATGAACAGTTGGCACTTGTGGAAAGGAGACATGCCGTCCTGCGAAAAGCACTGGAAGTCTATTTGGCCGACTACGGCATCAGCGGTGAGAAGGCCGTCAAACAGGCCTTGGCCTACATTGTGCCCCAGATCAACAACACACCTTCGACCTCAGGCTTCTCACCTGCTCAATGGCTTCTGGGACAGTCTCCTGACCTGCCTGGCGAACTCCTTGGAACTTCACTCACTCCAGTCCACCTTGGTGAATCCTTTGAAGATGAACTTGCCAGGCGAGCCACAGCCAGAATGGCCATCATCCAGGCCGACACAGACCAGAAGCTCAGGCGAGCCCTTCTCAGGAAGTATGCTGGCATGAACATTGCACTACTTCCTGGACAGCGATGCTATTTTTGGCGCGACAGCAGGTCACCAGACCTCGTGAAGATTCGCTGGAAGGGTCCTGCCACAGTCCTCATGAGAGAAGACAATGAAGATGGCAGACCGCACATCTACTGGATAGGATACAAGTCACAGCTTCTTCGAGCGGCACCACACCACGTACGTCCTGAGATCGGCAAGTCAACTGACAGCCTGACAGGCAGCCTCCAAGACGCCAAGGACGTGATCAAATCTCTGAAGTCACGTGGTGTGACACGATTCATTGACCTGTCCATCCAGAACAAGCGCAACATCGATGACATCGGCACTGATGAAGAAGTCATGGATGACAACAACGATGATGATGACGATTTGCGTCCTCCTGCAACTCGTCGAAGACTTCTTGACCCTGAACATGTGTTGCCACCTCAACCTCCATCTCCTCCGTACTCCCCTTCGCTGGCACCTGATCCACCACCGGCTGATGTTGAGATCTTGGACTTTGACTCTCAACCTGGCCAGTCACTTGGACTTTCGACTGGACCACAGCCTGATCCACTTGGATTTGAGGATCTCGCTCAACTTGGACTTGTTGAGCCAGCTGGATCCGATGGACTTCATGGACTTACTGAACCTTTACATGATCCAGCGGTGGATGTGCCGATCAGCATGGGAGAGCCGTCACGCGAACCCAGTCCAAAATCTGAATTTCAAGTACCTCAATCTCTTGAACCACCTCAACATCCAATTCCATCTCCATCTACAGTTCAACACCCTGAACCACCTCAACAGCCAGTTGCTCAAGCTCCACAACTTGACCCATACACTGCCTCCTTGTATCAACCTGCGACAGATGAAGACTTTCGAGCTCACCGGCGTCGCTTCCAGCTTCAAGAGACCATGTCTTTTGGCCCACACAGACGTGCACCACCTGCACGCTCAGTGCCATATGATCCTCCACAACATGACAAAGAAGATGCTGACTTTGGACTTTCAGCATTTGACCTTGAGGATCTCGAAACTGCGGCACTGCCAACGGGTTGGAAGTTTGAAGACGGCTACATCACCTTGGAAGACCACACCAAAGATTTTTGGGAGCTCAAAGCAGGATGTCTGATTCGACATCACGTTGTTCCTCGCAGGGCACTTTTTGACCCAAGAGCTCTTTCTGCCAAAGACCTCAGCCATATGCCAGTTCCTCTCCAACAGCTGGACAATGTGAGGGTTACCGTTTCCAAGCATGACCATGGCATCAGACATTTCACCGACAAGATTGAGGATGGCCATGGCACCTTGTCCAATACTCCATGGATTGGCTGCACTGTTTTTCAAATCAATGGCGATACTCGCAAAGAGCTTGGACTTCATGCATATGCTGCCATGACTGCAAAACAGATTGGCAAGAAAGAGAAGGTCAACGCACAACGCAAGATGCGAAAAGTTGCCCCCAAGAATGAGATCAACGAAAGAAAGCTGAGCCTTGAAGATCGACTCCTTTTTCATCAAGCCAAGGTGAAAGAGCTGAAGAGTTTCTTCGACAACGGCGTTTGGACTTTTCAGACCACAAAAGAAGCAGACCCAGCTCGCACACTTACAAGCAGAATTTTGCTGAAGTGGTCGAAGAATGCCGATGGCACGCCACGTGCAAAGGCGAGACTTGTCGTGCGTGGCTATGCTGATGCCGATGCCTTAGCAGGAGAGCTCGACACTGCATCTCCAGCCTCGACAAGGTTGGGCAGAGCATGCTTGCTTTCAATCTCTGCAATCCTTGGTTGGTGCGGCTGGAGCGCTGATGTTTCAACAGCATTTCTCCAAGGACTTCCACAGGAGAGGCGATTGTGGGTGAAGTTACCAGCCGACGCCCTCAGAATTCTTGGAGGCGATGCTGACACCAGGATGTTTTTGTACAAGCCTGTATATGGCCAGCTTGACGCACCAAAAAGATGGTTCCTTGAGGCGACCCGCAGACTTCGCCAACTGCAGTGGGTGCCTCACCCTATGGATCCTTGTTTTTGGCTTCTTTATGAACCAGACGAAGCTGGCGGCTCAGCTACCAAACTATGTGGCCTTCTATGTTTGCATGTTGACGACATGTTGGGATGCGGTGATACCAAGTCCGAGACCTATTTGAATGCTGAAAAACAACTCAAAGAGTCTTTCAACTTCCGCACTTGGCAGAAAGATGAACCTTTTGAATACTGCGGTGCCAAGATGACACGTGATTCTGACGGCACATGGCATGTGAGTCATGATGAATATCTTCGAAAAGTTCAACCAATTCCCGTTGAGCGGGGCCGTCAATCACACCAACCCATGTCCGACAAGGAGCAAACAATGTTGAGAGGCCTACTTGGAAGCCTTCAATGGCCAGCAATACAGAGCTCTCCACATATCCAAGCTTCAACCAGCCTGCTGTCAGGCGAGATGAGCACTGGACTTTCTGCACCCTTGCTTGAAGCCAACAAGCTCCTCAAGTTTAGCAAGGCCAACAGTGATGTCCACCTGAAGTTCAACCCGCTTGGTGAACTCAAAGACTTGCATCTGAGTTGCATGTTTGACGCAGCACTTGGCGTGCGTCACGACGGTTCCAGCCAGGGTGGTTTCATCGTTTTGCTGACTCACAAGGATGCTTTTGATGGGGTGGAATGTCCATACCATGTTTTGGATTGGAAGAGTTTTCGTTTACCCAGGGTGGCTCGTTCGAGCTTAGCTGCTGAAGTTCAATCGGCTGCTCAGGCAGTTGACACCACAGAGTTCGTTGTGCGCTTCTGGCATTTGATTTTCAATCCATATGACTCTATCAGAGAAACTTTGGATGTGAAGAATCCTACGCTGGCTCCAATTTTTGTCACAGATGCAAAGGCCCTGTTTGACTCCTTCCATCGAGATGCCATCAACCATGGAGCGACTGACAAGCGCACCAACTTAGAACTACGTGTCATCCGAGAACAAGTCGAATGCATTGGTGGAACCCTGAAATGGATTTCATCAGAACGCCAGTTTGGCGATGGGCTGACAAAGATGTCCGCACGTCAGCTTCTTGCAGACCGACTTAGGCACGGCTCAATCAAATACACCTGGGATCCTACGTACCAGGTTTCAAAGAAGAAATCAGCACAAGAAAGAGCAGAGAGCAGAAATCAGTTTTCGAAACAACTCAACAACACCAACTCACAACACAACACAACCACAACTCATGCAGTGAATGTTGGAGCAAAGAATAGCACTTTTGAGAAGATCACTGAAGAGCTCGACATGACTGAGAACCTAGAGCCCCATGTCGAGGCCTTTGAGACTGAACCCCCGAAGCTTTTGTGAATGACCAGCACTCACAGAATGACACAGCTTTTGAAGAGAACTTTGACCATGAGAATTTCCAGGCCCCTGTCGAGACCTATGCAAGCCATGGCGGCGGCTCTTTGTTGCTGCGCTACGTTTTGCTGGTGACCATGGTGCAGAGCACAGCTGCATCAGACCTCTTTTCTGGAAATCAATGCAGTTTGGAAGATGCACCCATTGAGTTTTCAGAGACAGATGACATTTATCCTTTTCTGGCCTTTGGCGTTTTCCTGCTGTGTACTTTTGGTTTTGGCTTGACCTGCGTCGTCGTACGACTGCTGAAGGAACTAGTTGCCTCCCGAAGGGACGGGCATGCCCAGCTACGTGTGGACCATGCGGAACAGCAAGCTGAAAACATACAGCTTCAACAGCGTGTCATCGACATCAATGCGCAAATCACTGACCAACAGACGGAGATCCGTCGACTGCGTGCCGAGCTGATAGCTGCTCAAGGTCGATTGATCGATCAACAGTTTGTCATTGATGATCATGCTGCAATCAGAGAGCAAGAAAGAACACAAGATCAAAGATCTATTCGTACTGCAGTTGGTCTTTTAGACCGCATTCTGGATGAGACACGAAATTTGAATCAAGTCAGGATTTATTTCGCTGTAACTGGAAGATGCTGGCACCACCGCCACGACTGCAACGGATTGAACAATGCCAATCAAGTTGAAGAGCGATACGCTTGTTCTTTCTGCCTAGCGAGTTTGCCGCCATATGAGGTACACCCAGACACTGGCACAACCTTTTGGCAAGACTGTGAAGAATATTTTAGGCAGCATGGAGGACGATTGAACTACGTCCAAACTGTAATTCATTGATGTTCTGATGTGAGTGCCGGCTAATATTGCCCCTGTGTCGAATGCACTCCATGCACTCATGTCATTTTACCATTTGCTTTCGCATGTCAGTTTCAATCAGACCTGCCACATTTGCCTGTGGCCATTTCCTTTCAACCATCCAGAGGGTGGGATTCTTGCAAAGCCCTTGACGGCTACGCGTGTGCAAAAGGGACTTCGTTTGCCTGCACTTGCATCAACTTCTTGGTCCAGAACTTCGAGTGTCTTGACTACAACTGACTCCCTACCAGTTGATACCCTGTTTAATCATGTTATGCTGGAAAATCCCCCAAAACCGTTGACAGATCATGATGTTCCCAATGTTTCGGTTGGAACTGCAGATCATCCTTGCCAGGTTGGACCGCCGGAGGGCAACCGGGCCATCGGACAGACACCGAGGGCATGTCGGAACGCCTTAGTGCCACTTCGTTTTTTTTCGAAGATTTCTGTGATCTTCACCGAATGTTCACCAGGAATATGTTCTTCGCTATTGCTACTTTCAACGATATTTGGTCTTTAGGAATCTATTGTGTCTTGTGTGTCTACTGAAATTTGATTGCCATTGTCAGTGCAGTGATAAATTGTTGCTATTTTGTTCATCCTTGCCCATGCAACGCAAAAAAAAAAATGTGTATCTGCACGCTGCATCATTCAATGTGCAGAGTTGTGATCAATTTAGGGAATGTGTATCTGGCAAGAGAAAACAAGAGGGCACATAATTTTTGCATTTTTGTTTGGATTACGGGTATTGACTCCTGTATCTCGTGCCAACGCGACATGAGAAGGAAGTAAAGAATCACCGTTCCCAACAGAACATTCAGGTAATCCCGCGACCCTGAGTTCGAAGTTCAAGGCAAAAATAACAAAATCGCCCATGTGTTTCAACTGGATCCGCATCAAACATGGATATTTGGGCATACTACAATGCTGCATACAATTCATTCAATGGCCATTTCAGGAACCTAAATTGGAAGTACCTACCATATACAAGGCCTGTATAAAGTCTATGTAAGGGAATATCCCAGCAAAATATGTCCTTAAAGCCTTATATGGTACAGGACCTCCATTTTAGGATCCTGGAATTCCCATTGATTCATGGGAATGCACAGATACCCTGACGAAATATAACCTGGCAATGGAAAATGTCCAAACATATTTATGTATAATTATGTAAGTATACATAGATGTTTTGCAATGAATAATGGAAATTTCCCATTGCCATTTTCTATGGCAAGGTATCAACATTTTGTACTTTCGGCATTGCTGGCGCAACGAGGTTCACAATTTTGGGATTCGTGATTTGACCGCTGAGTTGGGGGCAGAAACCATCAAACCGCATTGGTCGGTGCATGAATTTCAATGGCACTTTCAATTGGAACCCCTAGGACAACATTACAAATGACACAAATGTTACATGACGTTCGGCTCAGAGGAATTTATCCCAAACCCACTGCCCTGCTTGCAACTTCGGCACTCACTGCTCCGCGCCATTCTTCCTTTACATTCCCAAACTGTATGGTTTTCGCACGCAATTTCAACTGAACCATGGATATCTAAGATTGAAACCTAGTTGCTGCATCTGGTGTCTTTCCTGGCAGATTGGGCCTCTTTTTCGGCAGTTGTAAGATGAGGCTCCTGGGGGTTTCGCCTCCACCTTGAACCGATGCCACCAACGGTGCAATGTTCAATCATGGTTCGGATCATAAAGAAACATGTTGATTCATAGAAAACCCTCCCCCAACTAACAAAGACCCTGAACTGAACGTCGCATTTTTTTTGGAGGAAAGTAGTTTTTCAACCGCATACAGAATTTATATTAATTGGAAAGATTGTGTTTTCACAAGATTTTTTTTGCGCAAACGCAGAATGGAATTGTGAAACCTAAAGACCATTCGAAAAAATCAATCATCGGACTTCAGTGGACTTACTTCCCGAAGAAAACACAATTTGTTACTTCCACCAAACAACCGCAAACCGACAAAAACCATCGACAATATTGTTGGGACCGTCAAAAATTCTGCCGGCCCTTAGGTTTTTCAGCGGGCCTCTGCTGCAGCGACCCTCTGAGCTACAACTGGGACTACACATAATGTATCTCGCAATTGATTGGTCTCAGGGAAATCTATAGGAACCCGCATCAAAACGCACGGGTTTCCAGCATTTTTAAAAATCAACCCATTAAGTCACAGGACACCTCGGATTGTCTGAGTTCATGAGCATCACGTCATCAGGCACCAATTTTTCCGCGTGACTTGGCGAAGGAGGATGGAAATGAAACCTGAAACTATCTCAGGCACAATTTTGTCTCAGAAAGGTTGGGTCCGGTAGGAAAGTTCGTGAACATAGTTTGGATAACTAGGTTTTATGTGGACATATCAAGCCAGTTGGATGCATTTAGTTCAGCCAACAAATGAAACGCCGCAATATCAGAAAATAAAAAAGTGACCTTCGCAAAATAAAAGTTTGGCATGCCGAACGTCAACTGAGCATGTCGCCGCAACAAATATCGTATATCGATGGTTTTTCAACAACGGTTTGTTCCCAACACTTTCTCACATACTTGCGGTTGTGTTCAATCATCTTCCCTCCACCTACTTTACCACATGGTTGATGCTAAGTTTTAACATTTTTTCTTCTACTTTTGTCACATACTTGACGCTACGTTCCAACATTTTCTCTTCTTTACTTTACGTCCTCACATTTTTGACGCGACGCTCTAACATCTTCTGTTCTACTTACTCACAAAATTTGAAGTTCCGCTCTAACATGATGTCTAACATGTTGTTTTTTAATTTTCTCATTAACTTCATGCTATGTTCTAAGATGTTCTCTTCTACTTTGTCACATCACCGATGCCACACTCTAATTTCTACTGCAGCTTCTATTTTCTCAAAAAACCGGATGCTACATCAATTTGTATTCTAATGTGTCTACTTTCCTCACATAATTGATGCCGCACTCCAACTTCTTAGTGCTTCTTACTTTCTCGCAAACTTGTTGCTACACTCCAACTTCTGCTGCCTCACATGTACTATGCAACGCATGAGTTTTGATCCCACACGATCATTTTGTCTCCTGAGCTGTCTGGTGAGGAAACGCAATTCCAGGTCCAAAAACCACGACCTTTCCTAAAAGGTTGACTGAACAATTCCAAATAGCTTTGAATCACAAATTCAGCTAGCTACAAAAGCTTGATCTACTTCCAAAAGTTCTCAAATAATCCGGTTCTCATCCAAACGTGAATAACCAGAGTTCTTTACATTCAAGAACGAAGTAGATGATTACAAATGTTCTGTACAATGTTCTTCGGGTTGACAAAACTTCCTCAAACCTCATGTTCTTTCTCGAAAACGTCTCGTTCAGCCAAAACAAAGTTCCAGCATCTTGAAACACTCTCCAACAAAGCCAAAACGAAGAATCACGATGAAATCACTAGAAAAACCATGCAATGCAGAATCGCCAGCTATAAAATGTACACGATGGAAACCAAATGTCCCGATCGCGTGCAATGTCCAGATTCAGCTCTGATGGATGAAGTTTTTTTTCTTGTCCGAGCCCGTTGCCTTTCGACGCGTCTACGGTCTTGAGTCTTACTCGCCGACCAGCGGGGAATCGAACCACCACCGGCAGTCCGTCAGCGACACAAGAGTGCCGCGATACCAACTGAGCCACGAGGACGCCGAGCTCAGATAGATGAAGATGGGCATCACAAAATATAAAATCAATAATACCTCATCCAGTGCAGTGTCCAGACTCAACTCTAACAGTCGTCCTCGTGACTCAATTGGTGTCGCGGCACTCTTGTGTCGCTAACAGACTGGTATGGTCAGCAACAACAATTCAGAAGCGTATTTCACTTTCCGGGCAGCAACCAATTCGTTTAGTGAATCTTTTTGTGAGTTGCAACACAGTGACTTTTCACCACTGTGTCCATGGCAATCTTGGTTGTGGTTATTTTGATGGGCCCTGCCCCGTTCGCTTTTTGCTTTGTTTCTCTGCTGGATGGCGAAGCGCATCTGGCTGGGGGGACTGCGTTTCGCCCTTTGCGGTTTGTGTGTGTTGTTTTGTGCTTTTGATTTGCCCAACCTACATGACCACAGGTCTCCATGTAGATGTTATTTTTTAACCTGCTTCTTCGTAAGGACTGAGCCTCAGAGCGTTATTGGCCATACTAGAGGAAAAAAAATGTGATTTTATGTAGAATAGCATTGTCAGACCAATCTGGTGGTTATTCAATCGGTTTGTGACTGCGCCACCACAAACTTTCATGGTTGAGGTTTTGGAGCCAATGTCTGAAACGATGTTCGTTAGGGCTCCTTCCTTATGACTCTGACTTTTGAAGACTGGAGATTTCTGTAGCCCTTTTTTGGCGTTCACGACTTGTGTTGTCCAAGACAACCCCTCTGGGCGTTTGCGGCCATACCATTATGAGATGACACAATGTTGTCACCTCTTGCATGAATCTGCCAATGAACTGGTAGCCAGTCATTCCTTTGTGTGTTGGTTTTTGCTTGGTTTTTGTGTTGTTTTGGCGGGTTGTTTTGTTTGCTTTGTTCTGTTTTGTTTTGTTTGTTGATGATGACGGCTTATTGGACTGTGTATAGGTCCTTCACTCGAGTGTTAATTTGAAACTACTGCTTTTGCAATGCCATTGAGCGTGTTAAACGACCTGGCGAAAGCCATGAAGGCGTTGGACGGAAAAAAAAAGACAACCCCTCTGGGCGAGGGCCCGTGGGATGGTGGCGCCAGCTGTGGCCATTTTTTCCCTGTCCTCACAGCAATAGCTGTTTGGCGTTTCAGGAGGTTCAATTTGTTTCTCCTGTTCAGTCTTGCCACCGTGGTACAGAGAACTGGTTGACCTTCTACTGATTTTTGTACATCATGATGTCCATCGTTATCTTCAGAAGAGCAAATTGTTAGGAGCCAAATTGTACCGCCTCCCTTACAGGGAGCAGCTCCTATTCTGCATGAAATCGCGTGAC